TGTTTTCAAGCAAAAGCTGGTTTGAAGTGGGCGAATATATATATTCGATCTTTTGTTTATTGCTATGTGCATAACCAGCGTAAGATTAACAATCTATCCGTTACAATACATTACAAATAAAAATTATACTCACGGCTTATAAAATATGCAAAATGTAAAAGCACTAAAGAAATTGTCAGAATTTAGGAATGAAGTCGATTATTATGTCCAATGGAGAGACACCCACGTATCAGATGTCAGATGAGATTAAGTTTGGAAGGCAGATTTTTTATATTCCTTCTGCTGAGTTCCTCAATTTAACCCCCTCAATGCTACAGAGAGGAGTCAGCTTCCCTTCTGCTCTGTGTTATAGGTTCTTCAAGGCATTTCAGGTGTTAAAGAAAAAAACACATGGAGGGTTTTACTTGACAGCTGTTCATATAAAGGAGACAGAACACACTCCGGAGTGAAAATATATACAGAGAATTTATTTTAATAATCGCATTGATTACTCTGTGCTGTAAAATGTTTTCAGCCTAGGTTAAAAATAACAAAGTGTTTATTTCAAGCCATTTGAAGATTTGTTTTCCCCTGTCCAGCTTAAGGCTCCATGCACACTAGCATTTTTTTTTTAAGCTAAAGAAACACTGGGAAAAAACGCTGGATAAACGCTGGATAAAAAATATGCTGGATTAAAAAACGCTGATAATAGCCTTTTAAGTAGCGTTTTAGTGATCACTTTGCTTACTATTTTGCAACAACCTGGAAGCGTCTGAGCGGTCCTGGATCTCTACATCACTCCCTGCGACCGTGTTTTTTTCAGCTTTCTTTTCAGCTTTTTTTTTTGTTAAAATGAAGGGTTTTTTTTGTTGCTGGGCAGATTAAAAATGCAAAACGTGGAAAAAAACGCACTACCATGGATTTCAGCAGCTTCTCCATTGAACTCTATTATAGCAAAAATGCTGCTTTTTGCTTTTAAAAAAGTCTCTGACCCCTTCCAAAAACTCAGCACCTCAAAAACGTATGGATGTGAACATGTTCCATAGGAATCCATGTTAAATAGACTGTAGTGCGTTTTCTGCAAGAAAACAAAAAAGCACAAAAAAAGCGTGGCTGTGAACAGAGCCTAAAGCGGAATGCTCATTCTAGGAGTTGGAAAGATTTGTTTTTATGGAAGACCATTTAAAGTGTTACTGAACCCCCAACAGTATAATCAGTCTGCAGATGCAGTAAAGCATGCTTGTTATACTCACTGTGGAACCTAAGGGGTTAATCCTCTGCATTGTGTAAAAAGGCTGTTTGATCCTGTCTTCTCTGATCCTCCTCTTGTTCAAATGTCCACGTCTTATCTTCTGATAAGACAGACTGAACCTGTAGTTGCATGCACATGCACAGTTTGGTGTGTTTTGCTAGAGAGGTTTTTTTTTTTTTTGGGAGAGTGCATGTGATCAGCACAGGGCCAATCAGCACTCTCCAGACAGAGGGCAGGGGTTCTGCATCCTTCTAGAGCAGAAAGTAAACTCATCCTACAAGCTTTAACCAGTGCTCTGCTGAAGTCACAAGACTGCTCTAAATGCTGATGAGAAAAGGTATTTAGCAGTTTATGTTTACTAAAATAATTGCATTTCCATGTTGTGTGTACTGTGGGAGACCAGATATAGTGAATGCGGGGTCCGGGGAGACCGGATATAGTGAATGCAGGGTCCTGGGTGACCAGATATAGTGAATGCAGGGTCCGGGGAGACCGGATATAGGGAATGCAGGGTCCTGGGTGACCGGATATAGTAAATGCAGGGTCCGGGGAGACCGGATATAGTGAATGCAGGGTCCGGGAAGACCAGATATAGTGAATGCAGGGTCCGGAGAGACCGGATATAGTGAATGCAGGGTCCGGGGAGACCAGATATAGTGAATGCAGGGTCCAGAGAGACCGGATATAGTGAATGCACTGTCCGGGGAGAGCGGATATAGTGAATGCAGGGTCTGGGGAGACCAGATATAGTGAATGCAGGGTCCGGGGAGAGCGGATATAGTGAATGCAGGGTCCGGGGAGACCAGATATAGTGAATGCAGGGTCCGGGGAGAGCGGATATAGAGAATGCAGGGTCCGGGGACACCGGATATAGTGAATGCAGGGTCTGGGGGAGACCGGATATAGTGGATGCAGGGTCCGGGGAGAGCGGATATAGTGAATGCAGGGTCCGGGGAGAGCGGATATAGTGAATGCAGGGTCTGGGGAGACCGGATATAGTGGATGCAGGGTCCGGGGAGAGCGGATATAGTGAATGCAGGGTCCAGGGAGACCAGATATAGTGAATGCAGGGTCCGGGGAGACCAGATATAGTGAATGCAGGGTCCGGGGAGACCAGATATAGGGAATGCAGGGTCCGGGGAGACCGGATATAGTGAATGCAGGGTCTGGGGTTTAGTAATACTTTAAATAACTCAAATTTAATGAGCTTCAATACCACTAGGAAGCTTTGCAGATTAGACCACCAGAGATTTGGGGGAGACTGGTGCAATCAAAGACTTCAGAAGTACATACAAGTACCTCTAGGTTTTGGTAACAAAATGACTCACTGATTGGCCAGAGCTACATTTATACACTCACCAGCCACTTTAATAGGTTCACCTGTTCAATTGCTTGGTAATACAAATTGCTAATCAGCCAATCATATGGCAGCAACTCAATACATTTAGACATCTAGACGTGGAGAAGACAAATTGCTGAAGTTCAAACTGAGCATCAGAATGGGGAAAAAAGGGGATTTAAGTGACTTTGAACGTGGCATGATTGTTGGTGCCAGACGGTCTGCTCTGAGTATTTCAAAAACTGCTGATCTACTGGGATATTATGCACAACCATCTCTAGGGTTTACAGAAAATGGTCCGAAAAAGAGAAATATTCAGTGAGCGGCAGTTGTGTGCACATAAATGCCTTGTTGATGTCAGAGGTCAGAGGAGAATGCGCAGACTGCTTTGAGATGATAGAAAGGCGACAGTAACTCAAATAACCACTCGTAACAACCAAGGTATGCAGAATACCATTTCTGAATGCACAACATGTCCAACGTTGAAGCAGATGGGCTACAGCAGCAGAAGACCACACCGGGTGCCACTCCTGTCAGCTAAGAACAGGGAACAGAGTCTGCAATTCACACAGGGTCACCAAAATTGGACAATAGAAGATTGGACAAACATTGCCTGGACTGATGAATCTAGATTTCAGCTGCGACATTCAGATGGTACAGTCAGAATTTGGCGTAAACAACATGAAAGCATGGATCCATCCTACCTTGCAACAACGGTTCAGGCTGGTGGTGTAATGGTGTGGGGGGAGATTTTCTTGGCACAAGGAAGGTGTACGTAATAAATAGGCTTTGCTTTTCCCATAAGGTCCACCTCACAGGAAAATGGTCCTTAACACAAACAATTATATATGAATTTGCAGCATTAGGCAGCAATGCAGACCACTTTTCCCATACTGCCATAACAATAGACGTATCTGATAGACTTCAACAACCAGGGGGATGTTCCAGCAACAGCCAAAAGTGGTTTTGATACGCATAGGGGGAGATTTACTAAAGCTGGGGAGTGGAAAATCTGGTCTGGTTCTGCATAGAAACCAATCAGCTTCCAGGTTTTATTGTCAAAGTTTAACCCTCCCTGGCAGTATTCCCGAGCAGGGGCGGACTGACAAGTCATGGGGCCCCCGGGCAATAGGGATCATGGGGCCCCTGTGTCCTTGCCCACACTCAAAGCACACCCAAAAAAGCCTATAAAAAAGGTAACAGGGGCATTTCATGGGGCCCCCTACTGACCCCGGGCCCTCGGGCAGTGCCTGAATACTTGAATGGTCAGTCCACCCCTATTCCTGAGTGTAGCTCGGGGTAAAGTTTCAGTACCAGAAGCGGTAACCCCGAGCTACACTCGGGATCACACTGCAGCTTTGCTCAGGGATTCCCTCCAGCACTTACCTTGTCCTTCGCTCCCGCAATGTCCCCCCTGCAGCATCCCCGGCCATCTCCTCCGGCCGATGCCGGAATCCATCTTCCGGGTTCCGTTCCCTGCGAGCGTCGGTACGTACGAGGGACGGAACCGGCGGGAAATTCAAAAATTTTAAAATGTGACATTCACTCAATACACTAAAATCTGATAGTATAACATTCCTGTATCAAACCATTTCACATACATATTGTTCCGAGTGCTTTGTCCGGCGCCCTGCCTGCATTTTTACTGTCCTTTCTGCCTGGAAACTGAGATATGTCCATGGCGTGCAAAAAGCGTCCCTTTAGGTCAAAAGCGGTTTTAGACCGGCTAGAGAACAGTGATAGTAAATCAGAACCACTTGCAGAATTGAGTGATAACGATTTGTGGGGGAAATTCGTCACCAGACACTGAAAACGATTCTGCAACTGAGCTCAGTGATGTGCGAACTTGGCGCTCTATTTCAAATGTCAGTATTTTTGGTTTGATGACATTATTGAAATTAAATTTATTATTATATTATTATTTTTTATGATTATTTATTATATTATAATTTATGATTTCATGTTTCAAATTTTATCATACCCGGGATGTTTACTAGACTCTTGTTCGGACAGATTTCAGTGAGTTATTCCTAAGATCTACAGGCCTACAATAAAAAAAAACTACATCTTTCCATGCAAAAAAAATGTACCGCTTTGAGCACAGAAATACTGACGTAATCAGACCGCTAGGGAGGTTAATTGAGCAAGCTGAATTTAGAAGCTGATTGGCTACCATGCACAACTACACCATATTCTGAGAGCACCATATTTAGTAACCCTTCCACATAGTGTCACACTGGATGGAGTGTATTGGCTTTTAGCTTATTTACATAAAAAGGTGCGTATGAAGCGTAACTTGTAGTGCTAATTAAACTGAGAATGAGATGCAATGCAATTAACTTTCTTGCAGTAACACTGAGCAGCAATTTGTGTCCTGGGTGGCTGTAATGTGTCTTATGTTGCCAAAAAAGCAGTTTCTGGATAACGTACCTATTCCTCGGAGAGGAGTTTTGTGTGGGTTGCAGCCATGGCGTGTCTGGTGGCTGGAATAGGTCGGGTTACAGAAGTTACTCCTTTGGGTGGTTGTCCGGTCGTAAGATGGTTGTGTGAAGCAGTGCATTTTTCTCTGTCATTGGCCACCACTCTGTCTGTGAGGTACGGGGATTGTTGTTTGAGGAATAGGTAAAGAAACATTAGTAAATGAATTCATTTTCTTACGTTTTATATTCAAATTTGGCATTTGAAAAAAAAAAACATTAATCAATATTTGTTAAAACAGATCATATTTCCATGCAAACGTGTTCCCATGCCATCTTGTGAGTATCAATGAGCAGATCTCCAGCTTATATACACTGTGCAACTGATGGTAAGATTCACTTGGCCTTATTCACAATCCCATTATCCTTTAGTGATCAGTAGACAAGAGGCTAGCCTGCAGTCTCCTCCAAAAGCCCCTGTCCTGGTTGGGTCTGTCACAGATACCGTGACAGGTATCTGTGACAGACCCAACCAGGACAGGGGCTTTTGGAGGAGACTGCAGGCTAGCCTCTTGTCTACTGACCATGGGCCCTGGCATCTAAGGGGGCTCTATTCTTTGGGAGGTGTGTGCCTGGGGGGACCTTTTGGAGTAGTTTTACTTTGGATTCAAGTACATGTCTCCTCAAAACAGAACTGGAGGGGGGCTACAGCAACTGGACATCTGACCACCGCTGGTGGCCATCCTGAATACATGGTCAGTAACTTTTTATTGTCTTGCATACATATTCATTGTCTGGAATAAAGGTACCCTATACAGTATCACACTATGTGGTGTCCCTTATTGGGTTCTCCGTGTGAGTGCCATCATTCGCAGTGCCCTTTCTGAAAAGATGACCCCAGATGGTGATATATATCAAGGGATTCTAGAATCTTTATACCGAGGAGACCAGTTGGTGATACAATGTGTGACCTGACCAGGGAACAGATGACCCACTAATTGCGTGGTGATGCAGGATTTCATATTGCGTATTTTAAACGCACTTCTGGTGAGTGCGCATTTCATTCATTTGAAACACAGCATCTGTCACTCCCGGATCAGGATATCCACACACTTGGAATTGTGATCCCTCTGGATCCACACGGCTTTCACCATATTGGACAATCTAATCACTGGAAATCACCAATAGGTGATATCACTTACCTGCACTTGTAATATTATTATAGAAGTGTGTTTTATATCGTTATAACATATTTATCTAATCGCTCATCACTATTTAGCGCTGCGCCTGTCTTTTTTGACTTATATACTTTTGGAGGTTTTTTGGTTACCTTTTATTTGATGTTCTAGCAGCTATTTTGATTCTCTTTTTAGCTACTCCAGTGTAGCGCTCGCTAAACATTCCTTCTTTTTATTCACAATCCCATTATCCTTTAGTGATCTAGTAACGGTATCTGTGACAGACCCAACCAGGACAGGGGCTTTTGGAGGAGACTGCAGGCTTGTCTACTGACCATGGGCCTGACATCTAAGGGGGTTCTATTCTTTGGGAGGTGTGTGCCTGGGGGGACCTTTTGGAGTAGTTTTACTTTGGATTCAAGGACATGTCTCCTCAAAACGGAACTGGAGGACCAGGATACAGATTTGGGGTCTCTTTTTCCCAAACCAGCGTTGACTCCTTCAACCCCCTACTAGACTCAGAGACTTTAAGCAGATGTTGATATAATCAGCTCAAAACAACCTACTGATGAAGTCTTTTGCTGTAATCTGTTTATCAAGGTGTGATGTGTTTACCATTGTGTCTTTGTTCCATTGTTAATTGAGTTAATTGAGTCACCTATTGTTTCTTTCTGTTGGCTAGGCCTCCAGGAGGTTCCTACATGTTGGGATTAGTCTTGTGTCAACTTGACCTCCTTACCTAATCATTGTGGGATGTTTATCCCAATATGTAATGATTGTTTTTATGGTTTATGTGGGGACTGCCCCTATTTCTGAAGTGTTTAAAAACCTGTGTTTCTGTTTAATAAAGAGTTCCAGTTTGCACCTAAGTTAGTGTCGTCTAGTCCTTGGGTGCAATGTCCAGCTATAATACCTTGGTCCTGTGTCCCAGCGGCAAGGAAGCAGTTCTCTGACGGAAGCACTCAAGAGGGGTGCCAGGTGGTCTGTCACAGTATCCATTGGACCATCTTGCAATTTTGCAAGGGCAACACATGCTGCAGCCTGAAGAGCAGTCTCCATGCTGCTCACTTACAGACCTCCAGATTATAGGAAGGATTTATTTGGTGGAATTATCTAGTGGGATTCCCCATTAACAGAGCTGACACTACCCAAATAAAAAAAGAACAATTTTTTTCTTATTAAGGCATATCACATCTAAACAGGATGAGGGGGGGGCAGTTGCTGGAGAATGAAAATGTATTCTAAATCATTGCTACTGTGCAAAAGACAATTAGCAATAGCCTTAGTTGCTATAGAGCAGGGGTCTCCAAACTTCCTCAACAAGGGGCCACTTTAATGTCCTTCAGACTTTAGGAGGGCTGGTTTGTGACCAGTGGGAATAGAAAATGCCCTGTTATCTGCAGAAGTAAACAATGCCACATTTTTAGTTGGGGGAATAATGTCCCTATTGGTGGTGTCAGTAGGAGGAATAGTGCACCATCTTTGATGTCAGTGTGAGGAATAGTGCCCCATAGTTGGTGTCAGTGGAAGAATTATGACCACATTGTTGGTGTCAGTAGGAGGAGTAGTGTTGCAAGGGCCGGATAAAGGCAGGAAAAGGGCCACATCTGGCACCTAGGCTACAGTTTGGAGACCACTGCTACATGGTGTAGAGAGGATTTGGTGTCTCCCACACAGGTTGAGGGACTCCAGGATGTATTACGCCTCATTAGGAGAAAACTGGCATTTCAGCTTTCTTCAGGATTGATAAATCCTGGTATGTTTCCTGGAGCCTGGAGGCTTTATACATGTAGAATATTGGTGTGAGAAGTGAAGCCTCCAACGTTGGGTTTACCAATTTGATGGTGACCATTACCTGCTGATTGTGCAGGTGTGCACAGACTTTACAAAAGAGGTACAAATCAAGACTCTACCGTCCTGAGAAGACCATTGTACTGCTAGGGATTCGTAGGGGTACGGACACAATAGGGGTATATGTCTGGCTGCACTGACCAGACCAAGACCTGGAGATTCAGTTTTCGTGTTCGGATGTTCTGGTGAGGTGAGGGCTGGTATAGCCCGAGTTGGGCGGATTTATAGACAGGAGGCTGTAGTCTTTGATTTGGATACTGTTTGATGCTGAAACTTCTGTGTAAGAAATCTGAGGGTAAGGAACTTTACTTTTCAATAAGGGCAAGGAAAGCTCATAAAATAATGTAGACAATGGACTTAAAAGTGCTACTCTTGACACTAATCGTCATACTAAAACCCTGAGGGAATAATCATACTGTCATGCTCGGTCTAAGTTATGACTAGAAAATGCTCAACTTGTTATGGAGAAAAGCCTTGTGTTTGGTTGCTCTGTGTTTCATAATATAGCTATTGTAAACTACAGAAGGGGAAACCGTGACCAATCCCAGAAGGTTGAAGGGACAAACCATGATTTCTATGTTTCTTTATTTACAAACTTAGGAGTCGATTTACTAAAGGGAAATAGACTGTGCACATTGCAAAGTGCAATTGCCCCTGGGCTTAGTAAATGAGAGGAAGCTTCACTTTGCAAAGAATACCCAATCACCTGCAAGGAAAATAAAAAAAAACTGCATTTTTGCTTGCACATGATTGGATGATGGTAGTCAACAGAGCTATTGCTCATTTACTAAGCTCTGGAACTACTGCACTTTGCAAAGTGCACAGTCTATTTGCCTTTAGTAAATCAACCCCTTTGTATTCACTTTACCTAGATGTTTGTGAGCAGGTGTGCTTACGGGGTACCATTGCATGTATTTCTGCTGTTGAATTAATTGCAGCGTACAGTAGCTGTAGTATGTAGGTAATTCAAGCTGCCCAGGATAGGAAAGAGTTAACTGTGCCTAAAACCTTTCCTGGGTTTTCTTGGGTCCTGCTCCCTGCTGTAAGCCTGATATATACAGGGGGGTGGCTCTGCTCTGTGATGTGGCCGCATGGCAGAAGAACAGGGGGCCTTCTGTGTAAGATGAAACCAAGAGCAACTTGTGATCTTACTCCAAAGGAACCACCAGTAATGGACAATACCAAATATAGACTTCCACCTTTACAGGTATGCCTGGGCTGCCACAGCATAGTTAGCAAGGGAATGGACAGTGTTGCACTTTATTCTGTACCTTTGCAGATGTTTTTGGACTGTTCTAAAGCCTGGTCTGAAGTTACTCTAAAGGGGTGCATGTGGTATCTGGTGTATGAAAGAAGAGAGCCTATAAAGCACACATGGTGTACAGCAGTAATGCCACTACAAAGGGTTAACTCAGAAGAAGGTTTGAAGGAAGAGAGCAGTTGCCATGGATAACCAAGGACTGGTGCAAAGTGAACAGCAGCCTGTCAATAAGTGTGGCACCTGGCATGGTGACGGGTTCTGTGGCAGCGAGGGGATCAGTACTCTGACTCCCTCCCTAGCAATTGGTTCCCCAAATGTATCTGGAACCAAACCTGTGGCACGGAGACCCTTAGCCACATGGTACAGGAGAGCAGAAGAAGTTAACTAGGTGCACTAGTTAGGTCCACGCTAATGCACATTGGAACCTTATTCTATCACTATTCTGGAGGAAGGTGGCAGAGGTACACTGGACGGATGGAGGGCATAGGCTCAGCGGTGTCCCTCCTAAATGCAATAACTCACAGACAAGGTGTGTAGTGACACGTTTCACAGAGGGACTCTATACATTTAACTACCACACATAGTGTATGGCTTGTGTCTAAGGGGTACTGCCATAATGTTGACTTCATATGAACACAGCCTTGCCTGGTCCCGGGCATTGATGAGCATGCACACAGGAAAAATGAACCCCCACGTGCTGGGTGCGGTAGGCCATGACAACATGCTCTCTTGTAAATATCTCTTAAACTTAGAAGGTTGGTCAATATGTATGACCCATATCCATATATTGGCCAGAAAATATAATGTGGGGCTTTATCAGCCAATAAGAAGTTATAGAGGTGGAAAGAGGTAAGCCAAATATCAACTCAGAAGTTCCTGAC